AGGTTTAGGTATGCATTCATATAATATAAAATCGTCTATTTTTTTTTATTTATATTCGTTATTATTTTATTCTCAATTAATATATTACTTATTCATCATGTTTTTTAAACTTTATTTAGATTATGGTGGCCTTGCAAGAGAGTGGTTCTACTTATTATCAAAGGAAATGTTTAATCCATATTATGGTTTGTTTGAGTATTCAGCTATGGATAATTATACATTACAAATAAATAATGGCAGTGGGCTTTGCAATGAAGAACATTTGAGCTACTTTAAGTAAGTATTAATTTTAATTTTTAGTATTCATTTAATTAACAATATAATAATTATATTTTTGTGGTTTTTAGATTTATTGGTCGTATTGCTGGTATGGCAGTATATCATGGCAAATTGCTTGATGCATTCTTCATACGTCCGTTTTATAAAATGATGTTACAAAAGTCAATTGATCTTAAAGATATGGAATCTGTTGATACAGAATATTATAATTCACTTATGTGGATAAAGGAAAACGATCCACGTATTTTGGAATTAACATTTTGTGTTGATGAGGATACGTTTGGGCAGAAAAGTCAACACGAGCTAAAACCTGGTGGTGCAAACATTGATGTAACGAATGAAAACAAAGATGAATACATTAAGTAAGTGTGTAACTACATATAATAAATATATGTATGTAACTAAAATGATAAGAGGATCTGTGAAATTATTCTGGTATATATGACTAAAGTGTAGGATATTACTGATGCTTTTATTTATCTCAGAACAATGTTGATGTTCAAGCAATTTGTGAACAGGCCAAATACTAGAAAACGCAGGAACAATTTACATAGCGGACTATATAACACCTGTGATCGTAACGATGCCTTATTATAATTGGGTCTATTAGATTTATTGGACGGGCCATTGTGTTACCGTACAACAATTTAGAAATTAATTTAGGAACTATAAACTTTTTATCGTTTGTATCTGCAAACACCATGATATGCAGAAGTTCTTGTTAATTAACTGTAAATATTCAGAGCTGCTCGAACATATAAAGTATTCGATTCAAATATTTGGAACAGTGTCGGACATCTAAGAGCTCGTACATTTTCAAACGCTTAGTTAAATTAATGAAGCAAAGCAATGCAATAAATGCAAATTAATGCAAGATTCAGACGTTCCAACAAAGTTTTGCTGTACAGTGACTGTAAAACTATGTATCACTGATGTACATAGAATTATTTTACGGATCCAAAAAGGTGGAAGAATATCAAAAGATCTCTTTTTATATGTTGTTGTTTTGAACCACATATAACAGTTTTTTAAATGGATAGAATTTACCATTGTACAGATTTTTCCAAAGACTCACTGATGTTGGATATTTGGCAATAACCGAATCAGCTATATGGTCAACCAAGTATTTACTTGATTAAAAAAATTTCTTTTGAAATTAAAAACTTGTGTCATAGGACATAAAATTCTTAATTAAAAATTATGTTGTTTCTATTTTTTGAAGTTTCTACATAAATTATTCAATTTGATTCTATGATTTGACATTTTCCTCTAATTTATAACTATTAATATTTTCATTTTCATTTTTATTTTTAGACTTGTTATCGAATGGCGCTTTGTAGCGCGCGTTAAAGAACAAATGTCCGCATTCTTAGATGGTTTTGGGTCCGTTATACCCTTGAATTTAATAAAAATTTTTGACGAGCATGAGTTGGAATTATTAATGTGTGGTATACAAAATATAGATGTTAAAGATTGGCGTGAGAATACGCTTTATAAGGGCGATTACCATATGAATCATATTATCATACAGTGGTTCTGGCGTGCGGTGTTATCCTTCTCTAATGAAATGCGTTCACGTTTATTACAATTTGTAACAGGAACATCACGTGTACCCATGAATGGTTTTAAAGAGTTATATGGGTCAAATGGTCCACAAATGTTTACAATTGAAAAATGGGGAACACCAAATAATTATCCCAGAGCACATACATGGTATATGTTATAACATATTGATAATTTTATATTATTTATGTTATGATTTTTTTTTTAGTTTCAATCGCTTGGATTTACCACCTTATGAAGGTTATGTGCAGCTTAAAGATAAATTAATTAAGGCTATCGAGGGTAGTCAAGGCTTTGCTGGAGTTGATTAATAGCTTCAGTCGTGTGTACGTTGGCGTGGGTGATGGCTGCTTCAGCTGCACCAACACGACGAACACCATTGGGATGTTTTCTACTGAAATGCAGCACACCCACACCCACACCCAACGACATTTACAACGAAGATATCCGCCACATTTAATACGCAGCGGTGCCGAGGCCTTCTCCCTTAACTCGTGTACTTATTTATTAGCCTGTTTTTGTATCATAATACTTTTTATAATTTTTATACTGTTAAGAATGTGAGTTATATTTAGGAATTATACATTTATATATACAAGTTAAAAACCAAACTCAATTGAACGTGTAAAAATGTTTATATTTATTTCTTTATAATTTATTTTTCTGCTTTTGCAAATTTAAATAAAAATTGTAAATTAAAATATTCAGTCAACTGTTGTTTTTTTTTTATTTTTTATATAAAAAATTGTAAAAGAACACGATAGCAGATTCTGCAATATTTTAAGTTTTTTTGCTATATTCTGCATCAGATTATTTTTAACACTAACTTTTAAACATTTAAATATTTTAAACTATGTAATAATGATAAATACTAAAAAATATTTAAAATAAAAGTTATTTAAATTATTTAAAACAAAAATAAAATCGTTAAGATATAATAAAATTATATATAAAGCATACAAACAAAAACTTCAAACATTTTATATACTAATAAATTTGAAATAATATTAAATTTTAAAACTGTTTAATTTAAAACTTAAAGTTTGAATTATATTAAAAACTAACTGACAGTTTAAGCTATTTTATTAATTGGTTCTAATTTAATTTTTAAATTTGTTAATTGCAATAGTAATTGTAAGAAACTTAAACGTTTAAATAAAAAACAATTTGTAAAATGGCATTCCAAAATAACTTAAGAGACTATAAGAAGAATATTAATTTACGAAAAACTACAGGTTTTATCATAATTTTATTCAATATTTTTTATTTAGGTTTGTCTTCAGATATGCAATTTAAAATAAAATATAAAAGTATTTCTATGTAAATAATTAGTATAGTTACTTTATTGAAATTTTTAAGAGAAGTTTAGGAATTATATATTTTTCAATAAAATAATTGAACATAATATAACGATTATTATAAATGTAATTATGAACTTCCTAAAGTAATTTTTATATGAAATAATATATTAAATATAATTTTAAATTGTTCTTGAAAAATGTAGATCTTTTTTTGTTATATATAAATCGGTAATAGCTAACGTTGATATTAAAATATTAAACTAAAAATGTTTGAAAGATTTATAAATTGTGCCTGATTCTAAATCTAATTTCTGTAATTTTAATTAATTTTTTCATATTATATAATTAGTTAATAAATTATAGTAGTTAAGAATGAATTAAAAATCAATTTGAATATGCATATAATATATTTGAAAGTGAAAGAAAGAAACAGCGGTCGTATGTGGTGCAACTAAATTAGTTAAGTTTTTTTCAATAATGTTTTTAGTCGATGCTATATGTATTATAAAATAAATTTCTCTACAATCAAAATTATAAATATTTAAACTCCTAGCAATTTTATAATGCTTCTAAATGAAATATTAAATAAATATAAAATGTTAATAATATATTATATTTTTTTAGTTCTATTTACGCTAAAATAGAAGTAAAACACATTTTGATGTTATTTTAGAATACATATCAACTTATTTATAATTAAAATTATTATATACGTATTATTGTGTGATTAGCATTTGTTTAAGATTTATCTGAAAACACGGAGTGCATTCACTTAATTTGAATTTATAGTAAGTTGTTGTAGATAAGGAAACATAAATGGATTTCAAGGCTATGGGGTGTGAGGAATATGTAGTAGGTGGTGAGTGTTGTATGTAATGAAAGGGTGAATGTAGGTGTGTGATACCCACAATGCTTGAGATCAGGGCCGCTGATCCCATCGAATATATAATCGTATTACATTCCATTCATTACGGCAATGTTCGTCCATTGTTTTATGAATGTTCGGCTGGGTTTAGTTTGCGGAGGTTATCGCGTTTTTTGGAACAGCCTTAACACCTTAATCGTATCTACAGAAATAGCTGCTTTAGCAAATTTGATGATAATGCTGCGAAATTGTTTCTCTGTCTTATCCAAGTAATGGACAGAGAAACATTGTCGAAGTCGCGTTTGAAGATATCTTTAAAAAGTGCCCAGGTCTTTTTTAAGTTTGTGTATTTTTTTTGTCAGCCTCAATGAGAGCCTCGAAAGAAGGTATGGCTCGATAGATGGGATTGTAACCCCGTGGGTTACAATAATAACAATAACATTGAAATGATGAAGATTGTAGTGAGAGTGTAAACTGATCTTAAAGCTATATCAATACTCCAATTCAATACTTCAATTCGAAACAGCGAGAAGCTCAGGGCTTACGAGAATATATGTATTTATACATGACAAGTAATTGCTTGGCGTGGCACAACTATTCTATAAGTTTTGTGCAGTGCGTTTGTGTAATTAGTAGTATTATAGTATTTTATACAAATGCTTTGTTGCTTTCTTTATAATATAATCAGTAACAATGAAATATTATCAAAACATTGGGAAGCGATCGGCGATCGGACGTATGTGTAGGTGGGTGGTTTTGAAACGTAGGCTCTTCCGTTCGGATAACACAGTTTTCAAGAACTGTCGTGGCTTAATTGAGTTCCAATTATATTTCTATATTACACAGCTACTTATAACGTACATATAAAAAAAGTAATTGCCAATGTCATAACCAATGTCGCTCATCTGCTTAGTGCCCTATCGAGTTAAAGCTCTACAAGGTTTGTTCACGACCCAGGCTAGATTTAATTATTTCTATCCATCCTTCCGTTTCTTATATTCTCCCTACATTTGTTTTTTAATACTTTAATTTTCATGAATTCTAAGGTCCGATGGGGTGCTATGGCAAGAACAACAGTTATTGTGTATGAGAAAAAGGGCTTTCATCAAAACCAAAAATTTTGTTGCAAAGCATGTGTCTTGGAAGAAGACACTGTTTTAGTATCCTCTTATTATTATGAGTATATGGATTAGCACTCATATATAATCTGTACTTAAATTCATTGTTTTTGCTCCCACTGCAGAATGTGTGCCGATGTATATACAGAAAAAATTATATGTAGTCGTATTAACTTGTGCAGTAAGTTATAAATAGACTATTTTTAAAACTATGTATGGTATTGCCTTAAAATAAGTTTTAAGAACTGATCCAACTGATTATTGTTTTTTTCATAGAAAATTTCATATGGTTTCTTACTCCGAAAAGAATATTTAATTCATAAATAAAACTCAATTTATTTTATATTTTTAATCATTTAAACATTTTTATTTTTTACCAATTGTATTTTTTAATAAGAAATTCTTATTTGTACTTTGGAAACGGAATTCAAAAGCAAATTATGATTAGTTATAAGAAAAGTTTGGGTTATAAATAATTTTTAATGAACTATAGTGATCTACACATGCTCATTTAAATGTCCACATTTTAATTTCATTATAAACAAAAGCAGTCTTTAGTAGGTTGTCAATGGATTTGAATATATTAGTGTCCTGCACTTTTCACTTTAATTATTGTGTGCCTGACACAAAGGATTTTATTTAAAAATAAGCTACACCGGATATCTTCTGGATCCAGTCCAGGTGCGACGTGATGCGAGTAAAGACAGCGGGATAACCTTTGGTACAGCCGGAAGACTTGCCAAAAGATGTCAAACCGATAAGTATAAGCCCATGAGTACTATCGTGTGTTACTAATGGACCACCTGAATCACCAGTGCAAGTAGATTGTCCGCCAGTAGTATCAATACATATATTACTGTCATGTACTGATGCGCCATAAAAGAATTGGCATTCAGCGTTAGATTCCACAAACCTTGTGACATAGCGCAAGTGTTCAGATATCGTAGGAGAAGCTAGAAAAATATTTTTTTTTTATATACAAGAATGCTCCCATCTATCATTTGATAAAGTTACAACTAACCGTCATTAGTTTTTCCCCAACCTGTGGCAGTGCCTTCATGGTGTGCATAAGTGGAATAGGTTTTAGCTAAACGCGGCAAATTGATCGGAAATATAGATTCATTGAATGTAAGCGGCGTTGGTAGGTGCAGTAATGCTATATCATTTTCCAATGTTCGATTATTCCAGTTAGTATGTAAAATAACTTGAGCAGGTGTCAGTTTTAGGTGATGTTTGGGTTCCAAACGTTTGGTTGAGCCAAGATTAACCGTAATTGATATAACGCTACCAAATTCAAAATTGTCTTTAAAGAAATGTATCATAGACCGAAACGTACTAGCGTACTTACTTCTCAACACAATGAGCAGCTGTCAATAACCAATTCTTATCTATAATGCTACCACCACACCAAGTGTAAAACCCATTTTGGAGTTCAATACTTAATCCAGCCTGATATGGAAACTGATTTTCGTGTGCTAGATCCCCACCTGCAATACGTTCTTCTATCTCAGCATTGTTGCGGGACAAATGTCCCAATTCCAATGCAACGCTTGTGGAGAAAATACAAAAGAAAATTAAACTTAAAGCAAATTTCATTCTGATTAGTGTACACCCAACTCTTGACTGAATTGCTTTGGAAATATACCATTCTTTTTATACGTGGATATACGTCAATACACCTAATTCGGATCTCTAAGATTGCAACATTGATAAATATGATAATTCGCCATTAAATATGTTTTAATAGATTTTGTATTGTTTTCATTTGAAATTATAATTTATAATCGCATATAGTCTTTGGAGTGCTGATTATCAGAAGATAATGCTCAAATCCGAACGCCACTGTGAAATTAAAATTTTTTGTATTCAGGTTAATAAGATTGTTTATGGCCGCAAACATTTAAAATTTTCAAAGTCCAGGAGCGAATCTAATTTCAAGTGGGAGACATGCCAAAATGAATAATTTGAATTATTTAAATGCTTAGAGCAACTTTTAGATAAAGTCAAGGAAGCTTTAATAGGAAGGATTACAGTATAATAAGTTTAGTATTTAAAATATTTAAATACTATTAATATTATTATTATTTATATAAATATGTATTATTAGTATTTGGGATGATAATATTTAAATCAGTATTTAAATATGGTAATATTG